ATTTTACCTGGTACAAGTATGAGCACTATGTCCTCTTATTTGAAAATAAAATTTCTGTTACAACAAAGCAATCTCACTAAATTCACCCTAATTATACTAGATGACAGGGTTTTTGTCTCCATCTTTTATTCATTCAAAAAACAACATTTGGAAAATGTTTATCAAGTCTTCACTTATGTGCTAGGAATTTTACAAGACACACACTGTTATAGTCTTGTGACCCTTCAATAGGGCAGCTTTAAAATGGCACTCACAAAACTCAAAGCTGTAATCCACAAAAACAGCTTCAACTTCTCTAGGTTATTGTTCCCATCAAGAACAGATATTTAAGCAAATGAAGCTTCTCTGCTACTCCAAAAAAATAGTGTTTTATTACACATTCAGGGTCCACACTATTATATTGTATTCCTTCCACAAGCTATCCATGGTGTCATTAACTCTTGACCAAAATACTGATTTACCAGAAAAATTCTTCTTGTCTTTGATAAAAACCCTACTCACCTGTAGAAACTGCAGGAACCATTTAGCACTTCCTTCCACAGCTGAGTCTCTATCCAACAATCTATAGATGGATCTTACTTTGGTATTATCTAATCCTAAATCATCTTTGGATTGTAAAACTAATAGTAAAATTTAGAAGCAGGATAGGGACGATATTGCTTAACAATAAATGAACATATTAATTTGTTATATTCTCTTGAATTTTGCATAATTGTATCCAGATAGTGTCTGATACATCCAAGAAAGGACAGGTTACAAATTATCAAGGGTTAAAAGAATTCAGTACCTAAAGGAATATATGTATGAAAATGGTGAAATCCAAATAAAATCTGTAGTTTAGTTAGAGGTATTACACCAATGTCAATTTTCTGGTTTTGAAAATGGTTCAAAAGGGACTATGGTTTCTGTAGTTGAAAATGGGCTTATGTAAAATTTTATCATTTGGGGAAAACTAGATGTAGAGTAAGAACATTCTACACTTTTTTTTTAAACTTCTTGAGAGTCTTTCAAAAAGGAGACAGCAACTAAACAATTACTCATTAGTCTTCTGCCACCACGCAATGTATCTAATTGGAGCAGATGAAGACATTTATCTGTTTCTATACAAATGTGAAATTTCAGTTCAGAAGTATTTCCCAGGGTAGATCAGGATCTTCATCTTCCAGAAATATTAGTGACCTACCACATACACTAACAAAGAACAAAAATATGACAAGAGAAGACTAACATGGCAAGATCCGGGTTTATGAATTCATAATAGCTATACTTTGTAATCCTTTTCATTTTTTTTAGTTTTGAGAACAGATGCTGTTGTTTTAGTATATTCCTTTGCAACATCTTCCTTTTCCCTCCTTTAGACACTCCTATTCTACTTTACTCAAAACACATGGCCTAGCCCCACATCATGGCTTTCTTGTGGGAAGACTGGATGGAACTAGAAACATGCATGTTTCTGAAGTGGCACATAACTCATTGTGTGGACACCAGATGAGATTTAGTTTTACCTAACTTATGCCTATTTTTTCCAGTTGTCTGTTGCCATTCTGGGCACAGCAATGATGGACATCCTTGAAAATGGATTTCATTAACAAAGGCAAGAGGAGGGAGTGCAAAGTTTCAGGAACTACCATTAGCTCCCCGTATCTAGGTCTTCATGTCTAAAATAGCCCTTGGAAAGTCAAATCCAGTTCAGGCAGAGAGTTGACCTCTCACCAGCCCTTAAAGTAATCTAGAACACATAGGGGCTTAAACTGCCTCCCTCACCCCCTGACTCTGAAATTAGAGGATCACTCCCTGATAGTTATGTGTTTTTAGATCTATGGAGGACATCCCTACATACCTTTAAACAATAAAAACAACAATCCTGTTTCCATTACTGCACCTGTCTTTTCATTTTTAATAAATATTTTATAATCTCTATCACCCAGTATTTCCTCTTCACCATCCCTACTTCAAGTCACATTTTCTATCCTTTCTCAGGTCTCTTTCTAAATCTTTGCTTCCTTGCTTCAGAGCGCATTCCATCAGCTCCCGTTACCCCTGTTTCTACCTTGTTTGACTAGCCCCTATCCATGGCTCCCATGCACTCTCATTGCCTCTTTTTATTGCCTCTCTACTGTTGCCACTCTCTTTCCTAACCCCTCCTCAGCCTCCCTGCCCAGTCATATGCACATTCATGTATTCATTTTTTGTCCCACTTGCATACCTCCCTCTTGGCTATATATTCTTGAACACTGACAAGTGATCTTTCCACAGCTTACTATTCCTGGATACTTCTTTTCACTCCGGTAAACACTTGTGAACTAATCATATATGTGTCGACTGGACAGCACATCAAGATTTTGACCTAGCTATCAACACATTACTCAGCACAAGTATAAATTAAAATCTTGACTATCTAAAAACACAACCTTGACATAAAATAGCTTACATGCATCATGAAGAGGATAACTTATAGCAAAGAGAAGAAGGTCCTATACTTTCTTATCATTTTCCCTATTTCTTTTCCTAGCTTCATTCCTCTAATTTAGATTTGAACACCTTTTTAATATAACATACTAAGTCTACATACTAAGTCTTTGCCATTTACTCTGTTGGGTCACTTCAGATTTGTGCTGCTAAACTCTACAGGTACGAGTTAGGTTAGAAGTTAAACCTATGTCTATAGTGCAATTTCTCAGTGCCAAAAGATGGAGAATTCTTCATCCAGAAAAGGATATTTATACATGATAATACATATTTGGCTGCCACCTAAAACTGATTACTTCCATGACTCAAGGTCAGGAAAATTCATATACTTTAATAACTTTTTAAATATTTTTAAGTGTGGGGTCATGAAATACAGTGAATTGAGGCAGAATCCTAAAAAGTCATAAGCAGAAAGATGTTAGGCTATGGAAGGGGAAACGGTCTGGAGGTAGTCCTACCAGAGGCATATGGATAAGTAGACTGTAGGTTCTGATGTCACATCCTTTTATTTCTAAGGAAGTTAATACTTTCCTTGAGATCAGAGGGTGGCAGATCTCATAGGAAAACATGTCTGGCCCTGTACATACAAAATGAAATAAATATTATAGAAATGGTAATGCTAAGGCACTATACAGTGGCAGGTGCCATTGTTACTACTATTACAGTAACTTCTCCCAAGATCCCTTCTACCAACCACATTTTCCAGAACAAGAGATGACCAGATTACTGAATCCACATCAGTTATAGAAACAGTTATCCAATAAGCACTTCAATGCCATCTAATTCAATTTACTCACTTTACAGATAAGAAAACAACATTCAGAGAAACAAGATGGCACACTTGGCTTGAAGCAAAAGATGGTCAAACATTCTCCCAACTCTGAAACCAAAGTTAGTCATGGAAGAGACTGAAGCCCAGGCTTAGAACAACCAGGGGGAAAAGGTATTTGCTATAGTCAGAAGATGACCTGCAAAATGAATGTGGGGACTTAGATTTATGTTCATGCAGGGCCTGGAACAATTTTGAAAGCTAAATGGAGAAACATTGACGTTTCTAAGAGACTATGAGACGTCAGACCATGAAAGCAAGAGAAGCAGATCCAAGGGATCAAGACTATTTCTTGCCACCTTAGGAAGCTAGTTTTGTAATCTTCTCTTATTTTTTTCTCAGTGGGAATTAAGGGTCCCCTTTTCTAGTTTTCCCACTGAATCTGGAAATTTATCATGTGTCAAAGGCTCAGAATCTTCTCTAAGGAGATTCCTACTCAACAGGTATCCACTTCCATGAATTCTGAGAATCAGAGCCTCATATTTTTCTGCTGACCATACTATCTTGTTAACAAGAAGATGAACACTAAGCAGTAGCACTGAATGGCCGTCCTAGGCCTCTCTGGAATCAATGATTCTTGGGGTTAGAAAAATCATTAAATATTGTCTAATATAGCTATCTTTCCTCTATTTGAAAGCCTTCATCTTCTTGCATAGTTCTTTAGCCTATATATGATCCTCTGAAAAAGACAAAGGACTCTCCATCTCTGGAGGCAGCCCATTGATTCTTATATGTCCTGACTGGATGTATTTTCCCTAAAAAGAATAGATTTCAGTTTCCCTTTAATGTCTCCTCATTGGTTCTGGGTCAACCTTTTGGGGACACTCAGAACAGATCTATTCTCTGTTATACATGTCCTTTAGGTATTTATGCCTGAGAAATTCAGTCTCCAGTTCACACATCCAGTGATGTCAACCATTAATAGAAACTTGTACAAGGTGAACCAAAGGGTCTATCATCAAGCTATTAAGACACCAGCCTTTAATAATTAAAAAATCAGATGCCCACTAAAACACACACATAAAAATTTCTTAACAAGACAAAGAAGAGGACCCTCACAAGTGAATATTGAATAGGATACTTGTTATCTGTCCTTCATAGAACTCCTTTCTTACATCTGTTATCCATTCAAGAATCCTTCCATGCAGGATATACTTTTTTAAAAAAATAACTGTTCTCTTACATTTAGCCTTGCAGCAGACATTCTTTCCTATCCATATCCCCTATTACTTTATAAATGCATTTCAACCATGACCCCTGCCCACAAATGAAGAAAATACCCATTCCAAAAAACTAGGACTTTTCCAGAATACATTATTCACTTTGATAGGAGAGGGAAATCAGAGAATGGTATATGTTCAGAAGCCAAATCAGAAAACCATCTGTGGTAAGTTGTTAAATATCAAGTCTTCAGATTCTCTATGGCTACTCCATGCTTTCCTTAAGTCTAATCTCATGTTTCCCAAGACCTTAGTATTCTTCAATTTTTTTTTCTCTTTCTGAAGATACTTTATAAAAGGTGACATGGAAAAATATTATAGAATCTGCACATTTATAAACATAAGCATATTTAACCTTTATAAATTATCTAAATTTTGTAGCTTTTGTTATCTAACCCTTTGGTATATCAAGATTTCTTTTACTAGATTTTATCTGCCCTAGGTTTTTTTTTTTCTTTTGTAGTGCTTTAATATAAAAAAAAAAAAAAGTATATATCAGACAGTGGTAGGGAGTGAAGGAGTGGCATGGGGGAGGTGAGGGACAGAGAGAGAACAAAGCAAAAGGCCTGTGTCTCTCAGTTCCGTAAAATGTCCAGATGGAGTGGCTTAGGTATGGTTGAGTGGTAGGTCTTGTGGGAAGAACCTGGGCCATTGGAATGCTATCACGCATTGACGGCATCACTCATCCCCTTGTTGAAGGAGCAAAAGGTGGATTTCTTGAAATGATGGACGGTGCTTTGTATCTCTTCTCCAACAGCTGAGCATCAGCTTATACACAGAGTCAGGGCAAATGGCTGGTTGAGGGAGGTAAATCTTTGGAAACAAAAATTTAAAGAAGAAAGAGAAAAAGAAATATTAAGATCAGGAAACAAAATGAAGACTGGTTGCATCATAGTTTAGTCATCCCCCTTGCCCACTTTCTTGAACTTGATAACTGAAATGGGTGTCCCTACACTCTATCAAACTTTTAAACTCTACATCATGTACAACCACAAGAATGATATCCTAATTAAAATAAGTTATATTCCCTGTATGTATAATATGTCAAAATACACTGTCCTGTCATGTCAAATAAAAAAATGTTTTTAAACTTTTAAAATTTAAATACTGAAATTTAAATAAGAAATTCAATAGTAATTAAATAGTAAAATGTAATAAAATAAAAATCAAATAAATTATGTTTAATCCATTAGTTTAGAAAATTTTCATCAAAAAATTTACATTTGGATGTTTGTAGATGAGTTTACTCAGCTTGTAATGATGCTATTTGGCTTTGGCCTGGCTTTAGTCAAATACGGACTTTTAGTCCATAAGCATTGATAGTCAAAAATGTATATTTTGTGCACCACTAGCACTGATGAAGGTAAAAATAGTGGACTTTTTTTTAAAGGTCCACTATATTTTTATTTATAAAAAATAAATAAAATAAAATCTATAGGAGAAATGTCTCATAACCAAGATAATTTAGACCCCCCCTAAAAAAATATCTAAAGGATATATAGCTACTAGCAAGCTTTAAATATCCACTCATAGGAATATCAAAAAACTGAACCAACCAAAAAAAAAAAAGCACCCAAGTCTTCATCTGTTTATCCTGAAATACTCTTACCTGCCTCCCCTGGTCTCGGAAGAACTCTCCAGTATTTTCAATAACCTGTTCATCTGACAGCTGAGAATAGGGCTGCTCTTGGCAAAAGGTGAATGTCTCCCACAGAGTCACCCCAAATGCCCACACATCACTTGCTGTAGTGAATTTGCCCTATTGAAGTCAAAAAAAGGAAAAATCAGGATAACCCATGCAAAATAAGAGCAGGTTATATTTTCATAATCTGGAGTTAATTTCCTTTCCTCAACCCAGGGCAAGGAATACTGAAACTGCCAAGATCTCACAGAGGTTCTAGAAATGACAATGTGAAGTTGTCAAAAGGCAAGCCATTCTCTCATCTTCATGATCTCAACTTAGTTCTGCTTTTCTTACAGATGAGAACCAGGAGCTGAAAGGAACACAGCCACAAAGCATTCATCATTAACTGAATGTCAGAGATTCAACTTTTAGGCTCTAGGGTAGCTTGGAAAAAGGTCCCTGGGAAAGTCAAAGTAAGAATGGAAAGTCAACTGTTTGTATGTTAGAGATAGAGGAATCTGGTTGAAGTGTCTGGAGTTAAGTCCGTGAGTGAATCCAGCACTCTTTCTTCCCACTTCAGTGATAGTCATAGTCTTAAAAAAGAGACTATCAAGTGATGGCACTAAGATTCAGATGTAATTAGCATGTAGTAAATACTCGGACCCTTTTTATCCAATAAATACAACCACACAGCAAAGTAGATGATATATTTAGACCAGAAAAATGACAGGAGAGGGTTTGCCAAGTTACCATGGTTAATAAGAACATAAAGTATTGGAGAAATTGAAATTTGAGCCAGGGTCTCTCTATCTCAGTCTTAAATATTTTTTAACAACATAGATACAGCAATTACTACTTACCTTAGAATTAGGTAAAATATAAAGATTCACATATAGAGATGAAAAAATTATAAAGATTTTTGAAAAGTTGTATATATTACAGCATCATTATTAATAGCAAGAAGTTGAAAAGATATTATTAAAATCAAATTATAAAGATATTATTAAATCACAGAACATATCCCTACAATAGAAATGATTCAGTCACTAAAACCATGCTTTAAACAATATGTAATGATATTAGACATTAAAAATATATAGAATTGTATGAGTTGGCATCATTTCAATTACATAATATACATTTTGTACAGAAATACACATAAAGAAATTAATGCATATGAAAAAATTCTCAAAGGAAATATACTAAAGTATTAATTGATGAGGGGAAGGAGATAATTTTATATATATTCTCATTTCAAAATTAATTTTTGAATCCTGTAAAAGGATGAGCTGTAAATAATCAAATTAGCTAAAAATAAAACCAAAGTGACTTTTCTCTGCAGTACTACAAAAGACAAAATTACATGTACACAGTATTGTAGGAAGTAAAAGTACATAGTCTATTAATCCTTTTAATCAGCTAAATGTTTATAAAACCAGCAATGGAAACTCTTAGGTATGCATGGTCATATAACATCTCCAAGAAAGACATTAGAAAAAGTCATTCATTCATGATAGAGAATACCAGGAATTAAGTAAAAGGTAGAAAACAAATAATGATAAACTTAACGAGTAAATGGTAAAGACCATAAAAATATAGTAATTAGACAGGATTGTTGGCACTGACATCTAGGGCAAAATCTACTGAGCAACATGATTATGAAGTTAACATAGAAGAAAAATTCTTTATGTGATTAACATTTCTTTACATAATAAGATTTTTAAAACCCTAAGACCGATGAGGATGTGGAAAGGGTTGAAAAAATATGATACTGAATCCCACATCATACTGTTTAACATTCTTTCCTAAAGTATATTACTTTTTTTCAATTAATAGGCAAGTATTGAATAATAATAATAATAATAATAATAATAATAATAATAATAATTGGTACACAAGAAAGATCATCTCCAATCAGAGAAAATATGAAGGTCTGTGGAGCTTGGCTCCTGCTGTCTTTGATTTGTCCCCACCTAGGATAGGGCTTACAAATGCCAGGAACTCACCAGCAAGATGCTCTCCCAAGACATCCAGCGTATAGGGAGCACTGCGCGACCCTGGATCCGGTAGTAGTCACCACTGTATAAGTTTCTGCTCATTCCAAAGTCAGCTATCTTGATGGTGTAGTTCTTACCCACTAAACAGTTTCGTGTAGCCAGATCTCGGTGGACAAAATTCAGAGAGGAAAGGTACTTCATGCCAGAGGCAATCTGGGTAGCCATAAACTTCAGGTTGACGTAACTGAGGAAAATACAAGAGAAGAGAAAGTAGCCTGTGGATACAGGAAGTCAGGAAAGGTACTCATTCTAAAGTTGATATCAACACACCAAGCATTTAAACCTTAACATTCTTTCTCTATTCTTAAAGAATCCCTTTTGCATTCTTCCGAAGGGTCAGCTGCTTTTTTATTCCCTACAGAATAGTCACTCACCATGCCAGAAAAATGATAAACTTTAAGGCTCATTGCTCTCTGTTTTAAAACTCCAAGTGACTCTCATGACCACAGGGAAGAGATAGAAGACCTGGCTTATTTACCTGACAGTGGGTACATTGCTGGAGCAAGAATTGGCAGGCTCATGGCGGGAAAGAAACTGATTGAGGTCTCCATTCTCCATGTATTCCGTGATCATGCAAAGAGGGTCATCAGTGATACACACAGCTAAGAGACGGATGATGTTTGCATCCTTGAGCCGGGACATGATCTTTATCTCCTTAAGAAAATCATTCCTTTGGAGGATACAGACACAGATAAACTCAGAGATTGCCGGGATCAGAATGAAGAGGGGAAGTATGCACATCAAAGTCTATTTCTATCCATTACACCAAGGCTCATTTGTCTTTGGAAAATCTTTGAAAGGACAGAGAAATTGGCACCATGAACTGTTTCATTCTCCATATCTCCTGGAACATCACTATTCAATTACAATGGTTTTAAGAATAAGATTTATGATTTGTTCACATATAAATCTCATTCCTAGTATTTAACAAAATGCCTGTCATGCAGAAAGTGGTCAATATTTACTAAATCAAATATATGCTGCATAAAACTACTCTGAAAAATAAAACTTTTCACTGGAAATCATTTGCCTTTTCAAAAAGCCACAGATTCACACTATTAATAAAGTCAAGAAAGTTTTTATAAAATGGATAACCACCTTCTGGTTTATCTCATAATTTTTTATTTTCTCTTACTGATTTTTCTTAATGTAGTCTATTCCCACAGTCAGTCACAACACACATTGGTAGCATGTTCTTTAAAGACTATGGTGGTAAAGTGGGGTCATGTCAAAAGAAGTACTCACCTAGTCAAGACTAATAATTCTCTGAGTACATAGTGACAGTCATTCTTGAGTTATAAAGTAGCAACATTTGCTTTGGTGAAGCTACAGCCCACATTCTTAAAAGTATTGGAGTCTCCTATGTGTTGCATAGGAATTTTCTTCTGAAAGCCATACTATGTCAGTATTAACCCTTGGAAACAATATAGTCCTAATTCGAGATCTTCCTTCTTCATTTTTCCCTTTATTTAATCTTAAATCAGAGGTTTCCATGGCCTGGAAGGGCCCAGAGTCTAGACCATTCAGCACTGGTCAGTACGCTGAGCACAGTGCATCATGGCAAACCTCACCAAATAAAACAATGACAAGGACTTTATCATATTCTATGTTTTTGTTTCTCTCCTTGCCATTTTTTCCACTCATGTGCTAAGATTAATATGAAAAATACTCCATCTCTCCATGGGAACCAGAGAACGTCACTTTTCATTCACGCTAATATCTGTAAGACTGAAATTCTCAGTTAAAAGTACTCTGTTCCATCTCTCGCCTTTCTCTCTTTTTGATTCCACACCCTGTTAATTTCAAGACTTAGTGAAATAGGAATAACAAACTTTATCTCACTATGAATATCAGTGATAAGAATCAAGGCAACCCAAATGCATATGTTAACCAGATGTGCAGATTTTTCTGGAACACACAAACAAGCTTTCAATCAGCATGCCTCTCTGTGTGAGAATTAACTCACCATTACTGTAATGGAAAGGCTCTCAGACAATGGAGTATGACTGGAAACAGCAATTTATGAAGTAAAGGATCCAAGAGATTATTAGCAGTTTGAAAAACTGCTAAAGGATTGTGGATCCTTTTGCTTTAAGGTCCGTGGATACTTTTCCAAATAGAGGCAACTTCTCATGTGTGGGGTTGCTGGACGTAGAGGAAAAGGAGCATAAAAGAGAAAGAAAGGATGATAAAGTAAATAGAGATGTAAAAAGAGGAGAATGTAAAAAGCTTAGCAAGAAAGATGTGTTTGGTTGTGAAGTGTGGTAGGATGTAATGAATTCAGAAGTCTGTGTAATGACTAAAGAAATACACCACTAGACTTTTGTGTATTGGGAAGTATGGTGCTGTACAAAGGGAGTTAAGAAGTAAATGTGACAAATATAATGGAAATGTACATTTATGTTTGAGAAAGATGGAGAATATGAGGACTTTGTATTAGAAAAATAAGGCATAATAATGGAAACAAGGGTATTTACCAAACTTTCCATCTCAAATGAAAAAAAAGAAAAAAGATTCTCAGATATTTCCAGAAATATTCCTGGTCTGAAAGATGAAATAAATAAAGGAAAATTCAAAATGCAGACCACAGACCTGGCATTCTTGTTGGCATCTGCTCGGAGCATTTTCACAGCCACCAGGACAGGCTGGTTGGCACTGACATCTAGGGCAAAATCTTTGTCTTTGAATTTTTCCATTCCCTCCACTTCACAAAGATGAACCTAGACAAAAGTCATCTAGTCTCAGCATCATCATTTCTCCTGAAGATGTCTCAGTACTCTTGCTGGGCATTTCCTGGAGATAAACTAACTCTTACAACTCAGGCAAAGTAATCAAAAGAATGATAAGAAGGTATATATAACATATCTTTGATTCAAATGATAAAAGTAAAAATAATGGTAAAGTACCCAGCTAATATGATATGTTACTGTCTTCTAAAACAAATATACATTCAGTAAGGGAATACATGAATCTATAACATAGAATTTCATTATAACATAGCTCCACTATAAAATGTATAATATGTCAAAATACATTCTTCTGCCATGTATAACTAAAAAGAACAAATTAAAAAAAAAAAGAATTAAAAAATGTTTCTATATAAATGCTTGAACTTGGATTTGAGAAAGTTTAGTTACTGGAACCTGCAAAATATAAGTCAATTTTCTAAAATAATACCTTAGTATGGGATTTAGCATTGCAAATTATTCCTGAGTTTTAATAACATTATAATGAGTGTGGTTTTTCAACTCAGGAGACAGAATGAGTACATATAAACACCATAAGCAGATAAAATGGGCTCCTCTACTTCCCCCAACACCAGACCTAATCAAGGGGGAAACATCTGACCCAAACTGAAAACCAATAACATGTTACTATAAAACCAGGTATTCGGGGCTTTATTACAAATTAAACATTTCTTTGAGTTCTCAGAAGGTTTATGTGACTGATGCAAGAGTAAAATATTTAATATTACACACATCATTCTGAGGACTGTTGAGAAGAAAACTCCTCCTTATCTTAGTTGGTGAGTCATTCCCTAGTAGCTAATTCTGGGACCCACAGCAGGGGTGAGGTTGTTTTTCACAACTTTATATGTAACTCCCATCTTAAAAGGAAAAAAACAAAGTGAAATAAACACCCAGCAGCAGGGTGTTCCTGGATGGTTTATAAAAGATGATCACATCTCATGAGCCCCACTGTAACCTATTATAAACACTTTTTGAAAGCATTAAATGTTTTTCAGGATATCTGAAGTCTAATGACGTATTTGCCTTACAAACCCCTGTATAGGAATCAGAGTTGCTAGGAACTCCTCAGCTATATGACAAAGATGAAGTTGACCTAATTACTAGTCATCCAGAGGACAATTCAAAGAAAGCTAAGTAGAGAAAACTTTCAGTTGTGCATTCACTTCTGGAAGGGACACTTTGTTCTACTGACCATTGTTATGCACTTACTTCCTTTAAACCACCAAGGACTAGAGGCCTCACACAAAGGATCAACTCACCTCTCCAAACTGGCCTTCTCCTAGCTTCTCCTTGAAAGTTAAGAGTTTCCGGGGAAACTCTTCCACAGCCACATCTTTTCCTGAGAGAAGGTCCATGGTGACAGCAGGAACTGAGTAGGTGTTGCCTCCAGTCACTCCCTGGAGGTTCACTATGTCAGCTTCTGCATAGTGGGGCACTCCCTCAGGTCCGTTGTGTTGGGCTGGCTTCACAATGCCACTGCAGCCTGGGAAGACAAAGACAATGAGTCTCATTCCAAGAGACATTTTTGGAGATCTCTTCAAAAAAAAAAAACCAAGAGGAGATCTAGAACATGCCTCCATGACAGTCTAACCTTCTTTATAACATTCTTACTTGGAGAACACTTTTGCTTCCTCTAGATACTCTTTCTTGTGATTTTCAGAATGTAGGTAGCCACCATTTTGTTTCTCATTCTCCCCATAATACATGATCATTAACAATTTCTTGGGTCAATCTTGTAACCAAGAAAAGCTACAACAAATTTCCTGCTATATCAGGATGGGAGTATTAAACATTGAAGGTTTAATAGCAAATTTCCTTAATTTTAAAACATTTTAATTGGTGTAAGAGCCTATTTTAGGGATTAAGAATATGATCAAGTTCATAAAATCTTGTTTAAGATACATGTTAACATCTTTAAAAAACTAAAATATGAGGTGGGAAATGTTTAAGACTCGAGAGAATAGGTAAATAACTTCAGCTTAGCCTAGAAAATAAATCCATTTACATTCCTTAGTCTTGCTGTCTCTGCAAAATTACATAAATTCAATATGCTTTTTCAATGTCTTCTATCCACTAAATGATAAAAATAGGTGTTAGTTTCCTTTCTTCTTTCCACAAGATCCCTTCAGGTTTGTTCCCTAAAATGCCTATGCTCTCCAATTTAGTCCTGTCAGCTTCCACAACTGGCTCAGGCTAAGTGATGCTCTACTGAACACCACAAGTCCTCTTCTGCAGAATGGGGTCACTCTTAAGTTGATGAACTATGGAAAAGCAGCTCTGAGTTTCAGAGATGACCCTAGTAGCATCCCCGGTAAAGTCAGACACTGTGCAGTACTTTTTAAAAAGGCACTGGGAATTTAATCAACTAGCATTACTATTACTTTATTCAATGTTTTTTTTTATTGATAAAAAGCAAGACATATTTACTCTCATAATAAAAATCTTGTATTATTTAATAAATGTTGACCAAAGACAAATCAAGAAAAATAAGATAATTAATTATGTAGATAACTATAAAACTGGGAAATTCAGGAATTCTTTTTTTCTTTTTCTTTTTTTTTCTTGTACTGGGGATTGAACCCAGAGGCACTTAACCATTGATCCACATTCCCAACCCTTTTATATTTTATTTTAAGACAGGGTCTCACCAAGTTGCTTAGGACCTTGCTAAGTTGCTAAATGAGGCTGGTTTTGAACTTGTGATTCTGTCTCAGCCTCCTGAGTCACTGGGATTACAGGTATATGCCAACATACCAGGCTGAAATTCAGAATTTCTTTAGCTTCACTTAAAATATATATAGTTTTTTTCCAGGTGAAATTACAATCCTGAATTTATCCTTAATGAAGTTTTATGTTACATGAATGCGCCCTATCTGGCCCTTCTCACATTCTTCATAAAATGAGCAAGTTAAACTGACCAGTTTCTTTTGGTGTTACCACCTTAGTAACATCTTTTATTTTAATCAAATCTAGAAAGAGAATGTGGATTTCTCAGGAAGCTAGCACAGACCAAAAATAGATCCAGTTATCTAGGAGCAACACTGTTATACCTATGTAACATGTGTCAAGGCTTCTTCCTCAATCCCCTGCTCACTCTTTCATCCTCACCTGACTCTTCCTCCCCTGGAGCAAATTCTGGGAGCTTTCGTATCAGTCTGGATGGCTCCTGGTAGTCAGGGCGAAGAGGAAATATGCGATCATAAGTCGAGTTGGACTCCTGTTCACTTGGTGATGAGGAGCGGTTATTGTTGAACATACTGGACTCGCTTGGTAGGGAGAGGCTGACAGTCATTTCATCATCCAGCATCCTCCGGGAAGCCTGAAGGAAAAGAGCAGAGAAGATCATCTGGCACAAGGGTATTATCACTTCCTTTACTTTTAAAACCTAACTCTTCCATTCAGTTTATTCCTGCTAAACCTAGAAACACTATAAGTGACAAGGATGCAGTCTAGTTCCACAAATTTCTGTGTCAAAGAAACTTTGAAAAATCTTTCATTTCTTCAAGCTAGAACTCCTCCTGTCCTGTTAACATTCATTAACTTTCACTGAAGCACTTCTAAGCATTATTTACACAATGAAATAAGAACCTATAAGTAACCAAAGATCTTCTAATTTTTATTTTTTATTGATTTTTTAATAAATGACAGCAGAATGCATTGCAATTCATATTACACATATAGAGCACAATTTTTCATATCTCCAGTTGTATATAAAGTATATTCACATCAATTCATGTCTTCATACATGTACTTTGGATAATGATGTCCATCACATTCCACCATCATTGCTAACCCCTTGCCCCCTTCCTTCCCCTCCCACCCCTCTTCCCTATCTAGAGTTCATCTATTCCTCCCATGCTCCCCTTCCCTATCCCACTATGAATCAGTCTCCTTGTATCAGAGAAAACATTCAGCATTTGTTTTCTTGCGATTGGCTAACTTCACTTAGCAGCAGCAACATTCACAATAGCTAAAGTGTGGAAACAACCTAGATGCTCTTCAGTAGATAAATGGATAAAAAAAAATGTGGCATATATACACCATGGAATATTACTCATGTTTAAAGAGATTTTTAGGTTCTTTTAAATAATGAGTTTTCCTGGATTACCTTATAACTACTTTGATTCTGGGTAAACATAAGTTAAAATGTTCATTAACTCATTAGAAGAGCTGTAACCTGATGTTAATAGTTCACCTCATCACCTAGCAGTGTGGGTTAAGATAACACTCCCCATCCACTTATATTTACTAACAAAAAATAAAATGGCTACAAAATGGGATAGGAAGGTCCTAGGTGTCTGAGGATCCAAGACTAATTATATATAATACAGAAAGAAAAAAGAACCAAATAACTAATTGTTGTGGCATATCATTTAAGGTAATCTGCCCATTCCATCAAAAGGAAAATGCATCTGAATTGATATAACTATTTAGAGTTAAATGTGTAAAATGCTCCACTCCAACAACATTGAGCACTTGGGTGCTCAATGGAGAAACTTAAATCAAGGTGTCATTCTAGAGCACCTTGAATTATCTTACACTGAGTGTATTAAGATAGAAAGAATTTCTTGAAGGACCAACTTAAATATTCAAGGACAAAATATTTGCTCTCCCCTTTATCTGGAGAGTCTTCAATCCAACATTCCTTTCTCAGCTCATGAAGACATTCCAGGAGGCCTCAGAAGAAAGGCCTAGAGAAGGATAGTATATTCTGGCATTAATAAAGAGAAAACAAAAAGATATTACAGAATAGAGAATAAAATGCAGTGTTAACAGACCATTCAGTAAGAATCAAAGTTGCCAAATGAGCCTTTAGTCTCTCATCTTTTATCACTACCACCCTTTGCTACCCTTCATGCTAGAATTCCTTATTTAGATACCTCATGTATTCCAGCATTCTAAACAAGCAAAGATTTTTTTTTCCAACTTTGTTTATTTAGTTTTTGGGTTTTGTTTTTTTTTAACATGGTGCTGGGGATTGAACCCAGTGCCTCACACGTGCTAGGCAAGTGCCCTACCACTGAACCCCAACCCCAACCCAGAGCAAAGATCTTGATATCATCTCATAGATGCCTTAAAACATAGTCACACAAATTGGTGAGCTCTCTGTGGATTCTTTCTTTCAGTGTTCAAATCTTCTTTATATCAGGCTTTAATTTAGCTAAAGTGTTTATTTAGGTAAAGTGTTTTCAGATTAATGGTAGAGATCCTTGTTGGAAGCAAAGAGACTTCAATTCCATGAATATTCTTGCCAAAATCTTAAATTAAACCTCAACCATCTCAAGAATCCGAATGTAAAACAGGTCAGAATGATTTGCAGGTCAACCATCTGGGTTGCTCTTCTTCTTTTCTTCTGTCTACATTCAAAGAGTTTTAGAGATTCAAGCCCATTCTATGGTGAGCTTATCCTCCTCTAGAATATACTTCTACATGAACACAGAAATCAATCAGACAATACCTTCCTTCCTGTCCCCTTCTTTTGATAGGCAGTTCAAAACCTCACAGCCCAGAGTTTCTATGACCATGTCAGTCCCTGTCCATTAAAAACTCATTCCCCAAGGGTGGTGTTTATGCCTAAGGACATTGGCAGCAGGCCCAAGAGAATCAGACACTTAGAAGCAGTGTCAATCGAGTTAATATCATCTATGATAAAATGTAACTTTGGAAGAAAGATGGCAACATATTTCAATATTTGCAATTGAAAAGAGCATAAAAGACACTATACTAGCTGCATGACCTTGAATTCATCCAATTTTCTCATAAAAAAAATTTTAATATAACCACTATGCCTATCTCACCATTACTCAGAGGTTCATATAAAACAATACATAAAATATTATACTTATATACTATAAAACAATAGATAAATGTAATGAAAAATTATTTAGATCATTTGACCTAGATAGAAAGAGGAAGGACTCAGAAAGACACATAATCATAATGTTTAAATACACAAAGAAATAAGGATAGAATTGTAAGAAACTTGATTTGTATATTAACGAGGCTGGATGCTTTTCTACTCACTTTCTCTCACTCTCCCACTCTCTCCAAAAACAAACAAAAAGAAGAGACGGAATTTCAATAGCACTATCAGAAATTTTAGCTAAGCATTAGAAGAATGATTCTTAATCTTGTATATGCATCAAAATTACTTTTTAAATGAAAAAAAATAAGAAATAGATATATGATAGATACATAGATAGAAATAAGAAATAGATAGATGATAGATAAGATACATAGATAGATGCATAAATGCCTGTACTCCACCCCAAGCCAAGTGAATCGGAATTTTCATGAGAATTGTCCAAGTAGAAATTTTAATGTATTAGGAAGCATTTTCTGAGATTTCTAGGGAGGTTCCAAAATCTTCATTCTAAAAATAAGGAAATTAAGTTAGCTAATTCTTTTTCTGGTTCCTTTCAGCAACTAACTTCTCAATTTCTATAGTTCTTTGTAGCCTCTGATGACTCCTTTGCCATTTGTAAACTCTTGTAATCTGCCTTTTTACTCCTCGGGCAATAACAGCTTAATAAAGAGAGGCACAACCTCCTGTCCCATGCCTGTTATGCACTTCCTCACCTTCTCCAGCATTTTCTGCCAGAACTGTCTCCACAAGATAATGACAATGATGGCCAGGAGGATGAAGATGATGGCCACCAAGCAGCCAATCAGGATCCGTGTGTTGCTATCATCGACTTTAAGCATTGGATCTGTAGCCAGGAAGAAAAGGCAGAGAATATAATCATTTTGTGGGGAAAATAAAAGCATCAGGGACTGATCTGGAGGGGGGGGAAGGAGGTGAACTCTGTTCTTTCAGGATAATTCCAAAGAATCTACCTTAACATTTCTACTTATTCTTGATTTTGCTACTGTTTTATTACTTTGCTTCTATCTCTTACAGTACCCCTTCATGAGACAGTAGCCTCCCTTTCCCCATGTCTCAAGACTGGGTAATGAAGAGCTTTCCCATTCTTCCCCCAATTTATTCCTATATTACCATGGCATAGACCTAATCACAGACCGTGAAATACAAGTGAGGAACTGGTTTCACTCTCCTCATTCTTTGCAATAGGCAAAGATTGCTGAGAATCCTCTTTGGAAACATTAAATCAAACATATTTCCCAGATTGCTGGCTGGTACAGTCAATAACCGCCTGAAGCAAAGAATATACTTTTGTATATTTATCTTCAATTAACGAGACCACTATTTAGTTTCATAGACTTCTTCCTATTTATTGAGATCCTACCATGGGGTCTCACTTAGGAATATCTCTTTCTCTATTCCTGCCCCAGGGTTCTCAGACTTTCATGGAGCAGTTGGAACACTCTAAATTCTGTCTCCCCAAGCTAAAGAATCACATGAATGAGCAGTGAAGAGAGTAGGTTTGAACTCTCAGCTTTGAAGGTGGACTGTCCTACCTTTCAAGGGCTACTCTTCATCCAAAGCCACCTGGTATCAAGCCTCCCACACAGACAGTCAGGCCTTTGCAAATCTCCACCCTTCTTCATCCTCCAGGAGGTGACTTCAATTTAATTTTTATAATTAGGAATCACACATACCATAGGTTGTCGGTGCCATAGGAGAGGTGGGCAGGGCTCCAGAGTTGTTGTACATTGCCGCATCTGTTACAAAATAAGAGGGAGTCAGAGCTGGGGAGAAGATAGTCAGGTAGTGGCTTATCTGAGGGTTGTGACCTAGCACAGTGTGAAATCACTTTAGTGAAAATACCTTCATTTGATTATTACACAATGAGTGCACTATCAAAACACCACACTGTACTCAATAAATACGTACAACTTTTATATGACAATTAAAAACAAAATAAAATGAAATCATGAACACATTGAATAAAATTATAACCACAGTAAGGGCGACCTTTCTTTTGCAAAATTTTAGTTTCAACTATTACATCATAGGTGTTCAAGAACAAAAAGTTAAGAGGTTTAGAGAGCTATGACCACACATTATCATAAAATATGCACAGAAGGCAGGACACAAATTTAGCAAAATGTAGACAGAATACAGTGGGTAAGTGGACGTGGGATAGACATAATGCAAAGAAGTTCTTTCCTTCATGAAAATGAAATGTTTCCATAAAAGTTTTTCCACTATGCTTTATTTCCCAAAGTCATTATCTTATAAATTAAGACTTCATCCATCCTTAGAGAGAGAATATTCATATCAGAGATATTGATATTTGCTATGATGCTGCAGCTTTTGAGACTTGGCCTCAAGAGTGTATTTGCCAGGTAGATGTTGACAACTAATTTATTCCCTCTGATTTGTCTAAACAAAGGGGTCAAAAATTAGAATATACATTCTCACCTAAGAGACATTCCTTTCAAAAATTTTATTTTTTCTTCTTCTTAACCTTACTATAGAAATTAAGGTGTCTGGCATCAACATGTACTTTCTGAACTGAGTCCTTAGTCTCCAGTGAAAACTAATGGCATTGAATTTAAAGATCAAGAGGCCCCAGGAGCCAAAATCCATAGTCCATTGCTACAATTAGTCAAAATAAGGTAAGTGTACCAATTACTGTGCCAAGGGTATCCCCAAAGATAGATAGGAATCTATTTGTCCCCCAGTTAACAGAGTATTAAGTGGCACTATTTTTGACCATCTTGGTTTCTGCTCTTAACTGATACTCATGTAACATAATCAGTCTGTTTACTCTTAATGAAACCACTAGCCTGAAGGCATTTAGGTATCAAATTTGTTTTTCTAAATACAATCTATATTTCATTATCAGTACATCTTAATAAGCAAACTCTTGGAATTTTCTTAATTTAAAAATTAAATCAGATGGTGGGCACAGTGGTACCCACCTGTAATCCCAGTGATTCAGGAGGTCAAAACCTAAGTAAAGGTTCAGAGGGAACTTTCCCATGAAGAGAAAATGATCTGAGACCAGAAATCACTTTTAGTTGTCTGAAAGTGATGGAATCCAGTATTACATACCAATGATGAGGTTCAACACAAAATACACAATAAGTATCAAACTTGAATCAAATTAGCCTATAGATGTACAGGCTTCCAATTTATAGACATGACAGAGACTAGAGGTTCTTGTAAAATAATACCACAGAAAGCAACCAATCAAACCAAAATGAATTTCTTAGGTAAAGGGAGTACTCTTTTAGATTCAAGAAGATATTTAGAAGATATAACCAAGATGACCTTATTTGATCCTGAATCAAACAAGACAACTATATTAACACATTATTAGATAATCAGAGATACTTGAATATGGATAGGATATTAGGTGATATTAAGGAATCATTTACTAATAAATGTTTATGGATACTATATTAGGTGATATTTAGGATTTGTTTATTAATAAATGTTTGAGTTTTTATAAGGATATTATGCCTATGAAGATATTGTTATTTTCTTAGATTCATTCCAGAATTGTTAATAGTAAAATCAAATAATGTTTCAGATTTGCTTTAAAATACTACGGGCGGGGGGGGGGGAAGAGGACTAGACTGAACAAGAATAGCAAATAGTGACAGTTAGTAAAGTTAAGTGATAGATGGGGTTCCTTGTTCTATTTACTTTCATGTATAATAGAGATTTTCATTTGAATAGCAATACTTAGGTGTGATTCACCTTAATAGTCTTAGTTTGTATAATTTTTGGCAGATTGCGCCATCATTTTTAAGTTCTTTACCACATATCTCTTCTAGATAAATGTGTAAGGAAGAAGAGTCAAGTAAATATTCTGTTCACTTCCATTTTCATCCCTACCCCTCCATGATTAAACCTAGTCACACAAAGCATTCCCTCTGTCCATCAGTGAGAAACCACCGATACAACCCTGATATTCTCAGAGATGTGCCAGTGGAAGCCTAGATGTGTGCCTTCATCCTTAATCACCCTGCTCTGACTTCCCTATGGGCCTCAAGCTTCTTACCTGATTGGAAAGTGATCTCACTGAACATCATCCAGGTGTCAGCAAAATGGTATTGGCATTTGATGGCACTGGCCATTCGGTGGTGGAGAGGCACTGTGACAAAGCGAGCACTGGGGTTGACATCATCCAGGACAAGAGGGAAGGAAACTGCATTAGGTTCCCACTCATTGGCTTCAGAACGGAAGTAGCACTGTACCTCCTTAAAGATCTTCACACCTTTAGCAAACATGTTATTGCAGTGGACCTGGCAGAGGAAAAAAGCACGTGAGTGACAGGTTGGGCCAGCTAAGTCACATAGGAACATGGTGCAAGCAAACCCAGAAAAATCCTAGACCTGCCTGTTTCTTTGAGCACCACCCTTGGTGAATAGCTGATGATCCGCAGACTTCTGCATTTTTCTCTCTAGGGACTTCATAGTGACAATGATACAATGATCAGTTCTTATAAAACCTGGGCTGCAACCCCAGTTACCTTGATGCAGCTGCATGCCTCCTCAATTCATGTTGCTGGGCTCCAATATCCTCATTTGTTAAATGAGGGATGAACCACCATCCTCTCAGGCTCTTACTTGCCCTGAATATTAAATCTAAGATCCTCTCAACCACAGTTGCTATTTACTCCTATTTGAGCTATTCTGAACTAGGCTTGAGATAAATTGCCATCCTACTTCCTTCCAAAGCCAGACTACTCCTTTTCAACAAGGGAAGGTAAGAAATTTGAAAGATGAGAATATATAAACCAACACAATTTCATATTTTTGGATATCTTATTTCAAATATCAGAACTTTTCAGCCAGAGACACAGAGTTAATCATCTATTTTAATTAAATTCAGTTTAAGTTATTCTGATGCAGTCATCAAATATTTCTCATAAGTAACTGTTGAGATGAGAAAAAAGGACTATGGGAAATTTATTGGCATGCTTTTGCCTGATGTCATGATTGCACCAGTTATTAATATGGTGGTTAAGGCCATCAGGAGCAGAAATTCCACAACAGTCTCTCTGTAGCACATTGCTGTATTTTATAACCCGCAAAAATGAAGTGTATATATTTGTAACTGACTCAAGCCTCTGTGGTAGTTCAGTAACATTTCCTCTGACTCAGTCTTATGTGGAAATGGATCTTTGCTGGCCACTATCCATTGAATTTAAGGATTTCTTGGGTTGAAAAGATAGAATTGTCATTCACAAAATATGCTTTCTGTTTCTGTTTTAATATGTTACATAGGCCCTGAGTTATAACCCTTTAATTTTAATACAATCAATATAGGACTATACTATAAATTTATTTTTAGTTGAAAGATCAGCAATAATAGAAATTCAATAACTGAAGACCACACCAGAGTTCTCTAAGAATAGAATGTTAGAGCTACTAGAGATTGTAAAAATCATCTAGTCTAACTCTTTTACTTACCAGTGACACACTGGTATCAGAGAAGTTTGACTTGCCTATGAGCTAGTAGTGCTCTTTCCACTTATTATGCCACACAGAAATGTGGCAAATCTTCTTAACTTTTCCCTTTGGATTTTTCTCATTTCAAATGTTTTACTGATGAAAATGTGTTAATACCTTCCTTGGGGTGAGTTAACCATTCCAGTTTTTTGAACATAGGCCAATGGAATAAGGCTAAGGAAAAAAAAATCAAAGAAACAGCATCCATAGCTTCAACAGGTTTTCATGTTTTGAAATCTGCAAAGTGTTGGACAAGTGTCCTGTGGGAAAGGTGATAATCTCTTCTACAGATATTTTGGGAATTCTCCTGGAATGCATAGGATTTCATTCCCATGTAGTTTTACATATTTGTTTAATAAACAATGCATTTAAATGCATTAATATATCTTAATGGTATAGTTTAACCATACTTCAAAGTTGAGAAATGTGTAGTAATTTGTCTAGGAAGCAAAAACTAGTCTCTAGAAACTCCCTGAAAGTCATCTTTTACTTTTCATTTACCTCAGAAAAGTCAAAATATGCTAGAGATCTGTTTGGTTTTCAGGAGACTTCCCTGAATCAGCTCCATAGATACTTCTGACACTTTCTTATTGTTGTTTAAGCTCTTGGGTATTTTTGACCTGGGATAATTTATTGAACAGAATCCTGGAGATTCTAGAAGATCAGTGTCTATTGACTAAACAGTATAACTTTATGGAGATTGTAAAAATAATTTCATCATTTATTATACTAGGTAATCTCTCAATTGTATCTATGTGTGAATTTACATACATGTCCATAGGTACATATGGATATAGACATTATTTAGGACAAAAAATAAGTTTTCTTTTAAAGTATTTTTGTCGCTATCCATATTTCCTTCTTCCTTTCTTTTCCCTCAAAAAAAAAACACCTGTGAAGAATAATGGGTTACAGACAGCCACACACACTTATGTTGTACAACTGCCAAAGAGCTATTCTTGAATAATAAAATAGCAGATTGAGCATATGTTGATTCTACTGTTATCATCGTTAATGTTTGTTAATTTAACGAATACCTGTTCATCTAATTGGGAGATATCATCATACTAACATCTGGGTGAAATGTAAAAGACATGCATTTTTCTTTTGGAAACCTAGTTTGTTCAAGGAATCGCAAGTTTTGCATTACTAGAAACCCTTAATGACAACGCACATTTCCTTCTTCTGAGTCCTATGTCAGCCCATAATATCTGCTTCTGCAAATAAACATTGCCTCTTCAACTGAACTGCATTGTGTTCCAAAATACAGACTATTTATTATTCAACTATTTACATTCAGAGCTGAGTAGTACCATATATGCTTCAAACAGAGTTGACAATAACAAACAGAAGAATGGATGAATTTAGAAAATAAATATTAAAGCTGAAGACTGAGTACAAATAGAGGCAATAATAGACCTGCACTAATTTTTGTTTACTAATAACCTGCACCAAACTATTAATGGGGATAAAAAATAGATAATAGGAATCTATGTGTGATTTTCCCACTTTTTTTCCTCAAGGCTTATTTTGAGGACCCCCTCATACTCCTTCATAAATCATGTTCTTGCATGACATCCTGCAACTTCTTTATTAATCCATCAAGACAGCTTTCCTTCACACTCCTGAGTCCTCATTTACCTCAAGCTTAGAATTCAGGTTTAACAACCAATCTGGTCACTTTTTCGCATGAAAACATGTTAATACCTTCCTTGGTGTGAGTTAACCATTCTAGTTTTTGAACATAGGTGAATGGAATAAGGCTAAGAAAAAAAAATCAAAGAAATAGCATCCATAGCTTCAACAGATTTTTCATGTTTTGAAATCTGCAAAGTGTTGGACAAGTGTCCTGTGGAGAAACTAATAATCTCTTCTACAGATATCTTGGAAATTCTCCTGGAATGCAAGTAAATAACATAGGATTTCACTCCCACATAGTTTTACATATTTGTTCTTGCCTTCCATTCCGTTCTTTCTGAAACAGACTTGTGATTGAGTAAGAGAAAAGGAAAATAATTATTTGAGCTAAGTACCAGGAAACACATAATTTTATTAACAGAAATCTCCTCAACTCTAACACCAAGGTTAGGCTCTCTGGTGAGGTCCTGCTTCAGAGAATGGAACTTGGGTCTTCTCCCCCAGCTCTTCTCAAGTGTCTGAATTAACATGCCCAGTCTTTAGATCTTTTCCAAACTTTTAGCCTCTATCCAATTACATAATAAAATTCACCTATTCTCTCTTTTTTATAAGCTTTTAATTTTTATTTTTTATTGGTTATTTTCAGTTATACATGACAATAAGAGCCCATTTTGATAAAATCATACAAGCACTGAATATATCTTATTCTAATTAGGACCCCAGTCTTGTGGATGTACATTATGATGAGATCTATTCTCTCTTAACTGCTCTCTCAACTGCAGTAGTCAATGTCAACAACAGTAATAGGATGACAAAATAGCTGCTGTGCCTAATGAAATGTACACATTGGTTCCAATGTTGCTAGAAGGAAGGAAGGAAGGAAGAAAAGAAAGAGATAGGAAGGCATTGAGAACTATTGTCCTAGCCCAATCCTTATAATATTTACAAATTAATAAACAGGCCTTAGAGATAAACTAACTTTGAAATGCATATAACTAGTTACTAATGGAATGTGTATTTGAATTCAGCTTTGCTGGCACCCATTAAGGGTTCCTCCTGGCATACCTTTTCTCTTCCACACTGTGAGTTTACCCTCCTAGAATAAGTTCCACCATACCTAACTCCACTGACCTTCATGGTAGTGAAATTCCTGATGCGGTCAAATTCAAACATGATCTCAATGTAGCCATTGGTGGCACTCTCATTCCGCCAGCCCACGTAGTCATAGCCCGGCCACACATGGTATTCATGGGTCTGGGTGAAATCATCCAGGCCAGACACCCCATCTGTCAGTTGGCCCAGTCCTTCAGTCATGCTGCTCAGATTAAGATAGGTAAAGGAAAGAAGTTAATTACACATTCATGGAAGAGCATTCACCCAACTGCTTCACTCTGAGTTTTTTAAGAGCTGATAATCTTAGATGTTCACTGAAGGATTATAAAAACTCAGTTTTATTTATGGTAGTGATTCATTTATCTCAGCATCAATGGAAAATTAAGAGTTTATATAAATGAATTTTACAAAATTCAATGCTTACCACTTTAATAGCAAAAGTTTTAAATAATAATTTATATGAAAAGTTTTCTATAATCTCTTCTCATATATTGAATATAATGTCTTAATATGTAATGACTCAGTATTATCAAATCCACTTGAAGAATTAATTCATTAATAAGTGAATGAATGAATGAATGCCATACATAGTAGCACTTGTCCCATCACTAAATAAATATACCCAGAGCTTGTTAGAAATTTTTCTGACTGTCCTTTGACTGTGTGTTGTCATTATTCAGTGAATCAATTTCAGAGAAGCCAATCATGTCCTCGTATACCTCACATCTCCAACAACTTAATTTAACTAGGGGAAAAATTATCCTTACAAAATTTAAATATTAATTTTTATTTAATTTTAAGTAAATATGTAGAATACTAGACCCATGGAGCAAAACACACGGATTTCATGAGAGTCTCGGGTAATTTTGTTTCTGAGCTTAATAGCCTTTTCTACTTTTGAGTATGAGGTTCTGTTTTGAGTTGCTGAGTTTGTTTGACTGCTGTATGGGACATAAGTAAGTATATTTATATAATTTGACTATATGTAGGACATAAAAAGGTCTTCTTCCTTCCTTCTATGGTGGGAAAGAGCAGGAACTCATCATGTGAAATGTGTCTTTCCTCAAGCTCTGAAAGATATGTCAGGAGTTTCTTAAAAGAAGAGACTGCAATAGTCATTCTCAAGCATTATTGGATGTGACCTTAAAGTTTCTAGCCAGAACCAATAGTATGTAAAATTTGTAAGGAAAAAAAAAGATTAAGATGGATTGTGCCAGCTTTGCGTATACACTTTAAGCTATATTTATTCAATAAAAATGTTTGGCAAATTATAAAATTTGACTGGCCTTATCCACAGTGACCTGGATCTCCCTTCCAAGGTTTTGCCATCTTCTTCTCTCTACAGATCAGAAGGCTAGGAGAACATAAGTTTACTTGTGATAAATGTAGTTCCCATTGTCCCCAGAAAAATAAATCTCATGAAAGTTTTAAGAGAAGCAACACAAATTAAGAGGAATGATTATTCAGTTTCTCCAAAATAAAAATTAAGTGGAGAATACAGAAAAAAACTTTCCAAGATAACTTTATATTGTATTAAAATTTACTACAATGAGCATATATCACTCATAATATTTTAAATTAAAAGTTATTTTATAACTTTTTAAAAATTAAAAATTATGATGATTTCATATTAGATATAATATCTGTCTTTAAGTCAGTTCCAATCACTAACTGAATTACACAATTATTTTAAAATGATCTCAGCCAATTGTCCACGGTTATCACTGTTTCATAACCATTTGATTTTAATTCTCCATCAAATTGTGTGTAGTTTTTTCTTTTAACATAGTCCTTAAATTTAGAACATTAGTACTATAAAAACTTTCCAAAAAGTAATCCATTCAATTTGGTATAACACAAACAAGACTAAAGAAAAATTTTTTAAAAATTACACACACACACACACACACACACACATTTGTGGAGAGGAGTTCATACTGCTCCTGTATTAAAGTGGGCTGCATGGTGGTAGGCAGGTCATGCTCTCCATCAATCTAGGTAAAGACATCATTTTTTAATATCTACTACAACTGTATCTGGACAAATATATATGATACAAAATGTGGTAACCAGAGACAATGTAGGATTAGATGGACAGGGTCAAATGGAGTTTGTCAAAAAATGAATTGAACCCCATAATTCTAAACTCTTTATGATGGCAGATCCAGAATTCAAAATAAAGTTATTTTATCCAACAGTTCAGCTTACAAGCTAATGAAACATTAACAGAATGATGAAGTTCAAAAATGCCCCTGGATTGTCTATAAATCTTTCAATAGATGTTATGTAATTTTCTGTCTTTTATCCATAACAACTCTTTTTCCTGAGACCCTTATCTAAGTACCTTGGATCTCCTCAGCCACATCCCAATCAGAAATGTGATTATCTCAGTTATTAGTGTTTACATTTCTATAATTATCTGATCTTTCCTTTGGGGTCTATAGCTATATTTTCAGCTAACTTTCTTTTTTCTCCATTTGAATGTTTTGAATATCCCTTTGACTTATATCCCAAACGAAATCTATCTTCATCTCCTATTAAACTAAATATTTCGTCCAGGTTTTCCATTTCTGCCAGCTGTACTTCTCTTTCACAGTCACCGAGAGTGCATCCACATTAAACCCTCAAAATGTGTTTGCTGGGCAAATAATGTCAGCTCCATTGTTTCAGTCACTTAGACTGTCATACCTCATCTCTTTATTTCATCATACTATCTTATCCCTTACATCCATCCAATCAGGTGGCTGATGTCCTGTAAAAGAATTTCTGACCCTCAGTTCCATTCCCAAGGTCATGATTCTGGCCTTGGTCATTAATTATTTTTCCTGACAAAACTGGAATTTAGGAATATCCCTAATTTTTTATTCTATTCAAATATAATCTTTGGTTAATCTCTCTAAAGCACAGTGATCATGTTCCCCCACTTTAAAAATGTTTAATTGCTCATCATATTGATAATGATGATAATAATAAGCAGAACAACTCTTCCTCATCATTCTCTTTCTTCCTTTCCTCTTTCTTCTCCTTTTCTTGTTCCTCCTGGCCCTGACCTTCAAATTCCTCCCAATATGGCATAATCCTTGTTCTACTTCTCATCTACTACTTTGCTATATAAATTTGGCTGATGGTTAACTAAACTGTTCAATTTCATTTTACATATATTCTTCTGAAATTTACAACCACTGTTCATTTTTCCCCATGTTATTCTCTCAATCTAAATGCCATTTCAAGATTCTCTACCTATAGAAGTTCTATCCATATCCATCCTTTGGAACGCATTTCAGATCTTATTGATTCCATTTATCTTTATTCGTCCTCCAATAAGATAATAACTTACACATGTATAGCACTGTACTTTTACAAAATGCTTTTCTTATGTATTTTAATTTACTTAACCTTAAAAGAAAACAAATAATTCAGAACATGGGGAATCCCGCCATTTTTCACTCCCAATATTATATGGCTTACTCTTTCCTTAGAACCTCAAAGTGTTAATAAAATAATCTCTTATTCATATGCTTGCATCATAGTAATTTGGCCTTGGTCATTAATTATTTTACCTGACAAAACTGGAATTTAGGTACTGTGAATACCTTAAAGGTAAGATCAATCAACAACTTATTTATCTTTATAAATGCCTAACCAAATTCCTTACATATAGTAACAGTGAATTGGCAAAGGTTGATTAAACTAAACTGAGTTCAGTTGATCTCTGGTTTCCTTTATGACATGAGTATTTGCTGTCTGGGTTGTGCTGAGTGAAATGATGCCAAGACAGTTTAAGTAAATTGGAAAGACCGGTGACTGAGAAGGTGAAAAGGAAGTGACTAAGAATAGAAGACTGGATGAATCAGGATTTCACCCAAAGGATGACAGCTGGGGGCAATCGTTTATTCTCTACACCTAAGCTAATGGAAGTGCTGTAATTCCACATCCCCTTTCCTGAGACTCACTAATATTTCCCTCTCTCAACCCCTGTAAATCCCCATGATCTCTCCCAGGCTCCATCTTTGCAGATAAAGACAAAGATAAGAGAGAAGAGTATTGGGATAGGCTAGAAGAATGGTAAAGGTCAGACTGGAGTGGGATACATCTCTTATCTACTTCTAAATTCTTACTTATTTAATGATATTTCTCTGCTATGGCTCTCTGTTAATCCACTTCAGGTGGCTCTCTTGGTCTTTTGCAGCATCCAACTTCTGCCATAATCAGACCATTCTTGTCCTCAGCCCTGTTTCCTCTGCTCTCCTTCCCTCTACCTTACCCTGCTTCAATTCTCATCTCATCCTAGAAATTTTCCTTGCCTATTGTCTTACTAATTTCCACAATTTCTAAAAGATTTATATTTATGAATTCCATTCTTTGTGAAGTTCTTGACTTCCCCAAATTTATTATGCTTATTATTTCAATCCTTCTGGCCCTTCATCTTCACAGCGAGGCCAATATTTGTGTCAGAAGAGATGCCCTGTTTTCTGGGTCAAAAATATGGCTACCACACATTAAAATCATACCAAAAAGTTTAGCTTTGATTTGTGTAATTTATTGTTGCTTTCTATGTTGTTACCTTGTCTTCCCAAGGTAGACTTTAAGTTCATTGGAAATAAAAACCACACAGTTGGCTTCATCTAAATTACCTTACCATGTCTAGTCTAGGAACTAAATAAATACTTGGTTGGGTTGATTGGTTTCTGATGTAAAGCCATGATAAAATATTATTCTTAACTCCTGGTGGTCATTTTCCCATTCTGATGATCAAGCTTCCCCAAATTTACCTGTACCCAACGGCTCCATCATAGACAGAATCATTCAGATAAATGATAGAGCCTCCAGGGAGTACAAACTGCTGCCCAGCTGGAGCATTGTAAGACACCAAGCCATCTGCCAAAGAAACAGAGTTGTCAGTGTCTTTGGGAAGATGTGCTTACTCCTCAGACCAACTACCTCAGGGAACTACATGAGTTTCAAGGGTGCAATTCTGTGCAATGTGTCCCATCAGGCTCTATTTGGGTAAACAGGGAGCGCTACTGAAAAGCATTCCTTGGTGATAGTCAGCAAAGTAACTTTGAATATGTTATTTCAGGTGTGGTGCACCAAGCCATAGGTGGATGAACAATGCATCTTTCTCTAATCAAGAGGACAGCACATCCTTCTGGGAGTAACTAATCCAATCCCTTTCTGGTTTGGTTGACTTTATTTCCCAGGGAGTGGGGTTTTGCCTAAAGTCTATAAAATCCCTGTGCTAGAGACCTACCTAGCCAGACACAGCCATAAAGTTCCACCCTCATGCAAACATTCATGGAGTGGTCAGTGACTGGAATGAAGCGAACAAATCTAGCTACAATGGGTGGCTCCAAGTCCTTTAGGAAAATGTCATACGGGTTACTATTTCCATCTAGCACCTGAAGAGAGAGAAGAGAAAAAGTGAAGAGATGGTATAAAATCATGTTCACTTTTCTTCAACCCTATCACCCATGTTATATGGAAGCTCTCATTTAATTCAAAGAACAGAATATATTCATTCAGCTTTCTCAGCAGGCTTGATGATCCTCCCTGTGAAACCTCCTTCTCCCTAGGTCCCATTAAAAAGGTCATGCCAGGTCTGTAAGCACTCATATCTGCACAGATAATCTGTGCTGTTCTCCTTCTCACCTAAATCAAAATATTGTCTGCAGACACACCAGGGTGTGGACATCTCTTCTTCCTACCTGTTTCCCATGCCGGTTCCGCCAAGAAATCCAGCGAGTGCCATCCCGACTATAATTGATCTTGTACATGGGTGCAAACTCGATGCCATGACCCCCTGCATGGCGCCCCTGGGTCCCCACAAGAGTGATAAAGTGTAGGGTGTGCAAATCAATCTGCAGAAATTCCTTCAGGTCATCGGGTTCCACTGGAATCTCAGGGCACCAGGCTCCATCTCCTTCTTCTGAGTCCAGCCTTGGAAGGCAAGAGTTGGGGAAAGAGAGAGCAACGATGAAACCAAATTGTTTACCAATTCACACACACACACACACAAAAAAAAAAAACAGCTTTCCTGTCCTGAGGGGAGAGAGCAGCCTGGAAGTCCAGTCCAGACTCACATCTGGGTTCTGCCCACCAGTCTGATTGCCCCCAACCATTCTTATTTAGGCTCAGTATTCTTTCTTTGAAGCATCATGGAACCCAGGAGAGTCACCATCAGGGAGTTTAAGGCCTTCAGAGTACATGTAACCTTCACGTTCCCTCTCAACTTAGAAGCTCCAAGGAAAATGAAACAATTTCTATCCTCTGTCACCCTATGGAATCATTTCACCATCCCCTTCTCCTATTTTTTTTTAGACTCAGCCTAATAAAATTAGCCACTCCTGGCTTGGATATCAAATTATGGGAGTGGAGTGGGAGGGACAGTAAAATCTCCAGGGTGGGCTATGCAGTGCAGTGGAATTTTAACCAGAAGGATGGGCATGGCCACCCAGCAAAAACCATGGAAATCCACAGCAAGGGTGAGGAATAAGAGCATGTCAAGGGAGTTGTAAATAATCTGGTTTCATTTTATTATCTCCAGGCTGAGTTACCACTAAGCAAAATTGTGAAATCAGTATAAAGTTTACATTGGGAACCTTTTACCATTTTCTCTCTTTCCTGGAATGCTCCCTTTTCTCACAGATGTTACCCGCTCAATTCTTGTCCCTCCTAACCTCACTAACTCTCATCTTTCACCCACCAAGATAAATATGATGGGGGAGGTTTACCTTTCCTTTTGGGCAATTCCATTTTAATAAAATCAATACCTTACCCCCAAGAATTAGATTCCAAGAGGAGGAGTAGGTCCTGACCCAAAGAGAACTTTTTTGATTTGGGAGTTTATTGATTTATAGGACTTTGCCAGGAGAAAACTACAACACCCTGTTTATGAATGAAGATGGCCCTTCTGTGTGGGATTTCCTTGATACAGAAAAGGACTTGTTGGAGGCAACAAAGTCTGATTAAGTCCTTGATTGTTTATTGAGTAATTGGTATTTCACAGACACGATCTGAGAAGGATGCCTCTTCACTCTCAGTGTCCTATATAATCTGCATTTTCCCACATCTGCTACTTTGGCCTCTCCCCTGCAGCAGCTCTCAGTGAGAAGGCCAGATAAGCAAACTGAACACATATCAATCAACCCATCCACCGTACGTGGTGTGGCTCTGGAGCCTCTGTGGTTGGAATGAGGTCACCAGACCAGCACATTAGCCAAGTCCTGAATTCTGTCCTTAAAAACATGCAGAGTAGGACAGACCCACTTGGTGCCCTTCTTCTATTCTCACCGGCTCTCCCCAGCATCACCAATCTTCCCCAGCTGTTTGAGTCAGGACTGTGGGTCCAGGAAATTTGAACTACCCAGAATTCAATCTTCTCGATACAGCCATCCTCACCTTCCATATTTGGCAGCTGTGGACTCTGACCACTGACTGGAAGCTGTGATGTCCTCATCAGGAATGTGGCCTCCTGACATGCCCAGAGGATACCTGCATATAGCTGGACCAAGAGAAACCAAAGAAAAGTTGAGAGCACATGTTTTTATTTTTATTTCAAAAGCCTCTTAGAAAGACTGCAACTGATTATTAACAGGGAATTAAAAGAAACTAAAGTCTCCTAAATTCCTCTATGACCCCAGTTTGACCACCCTGACTCTACCAGAATTTTTTTCATAGCCCTGAATCTAAATGCCACTTTTGTTTCCGACATTTGATCCTTAGCCAAACTTATCTTTTAGTTCAAACTCTGTTAAGTAATGTAATATGATATAATGCATTGATTTATCCCTTTATTTAGTAATAGATGTGCACTTCTAATCAATTTCCCAATTGTAGTGCTCTTTCACTACTTATGAAATCATCAGGTACCCTGCAATCCACAACATTCTTTTTTGTGCAGGTAGCCAATTGCATGAAACATGAAGCAAACCTACAAACTCTCCTAAAAAGGGATTGAATGTGTATTTTTGGCCCCCATTAGCATCATGTCTGTCCCCTGGCTAAAACCAATAACCTCTGGGAATGGACATCTACTTTAACCCAAGCTAGAGTAACAGACATCAGATTTACTCTCCTGTATGAAAGTAACAGAAAGGGCCAACTATATGGGAAACTGGCCTTCAGATCATGAACATCAGGTAACAATGAATAGCAATCTCAGAGATATGGGAAACAAAGGTAAGCCCTGGAACTGAGCCAACTTACTGCCCCGAGAGTATCCAGCTACAATATAATGAGTGCAAAGTCAGAAAGAGCCTACAGAATTCATTAATTCATTCAATAATTTGTCAAACACTGTGGTGATACAGCAGTGAACAAAACAAAGTGTGTTTTGTCGTAAAGTATACATCCTAGTGTAGAAAGACATACAATAAGCAAATAAATGCCTGAGAGAATATAGCAAGGGCAATGGAAAGGGAACAGATGCTCATTCCGCAAAGAGTCAAGGAAGTCCTCCTGGACCTGATGACTTTGAGCAGAGCTTGGAGTGAAGGAAAACAGATGAGCTCAGTGACTCTCAGAGTTGGGGATGTTTAATGCAAAGGGGACAAAAAGTACCAAGGTATGGTTGAGGGAAAATCATGCTGGTTAAGGTGGTTTAAGGTACAGCAAGGAGGCCATTTCACCCTAAGTTGATATGCTACCTAACATTATTATACTACCATTCTCCTTTTGCAATGTAATGAACTAAAGCAAACATATTTAAAGAAGGATAATAATGATTCCAATACATGTCTCCTTCCTCTATTTTCTGGCATTTTTTGATCTCTGATATAACATTAGATATACCCTGCTTCATAACTTAATTATTTGTATGAAAGTCCTTTCCTCCTGTAGATGGCAAATTTTTTCTTGGTGGGAGGACTATATCATACTTATTTTTTTTCCTCAGTGCACACATAGGGAGAAAATATATATTTAAATATATTTATTGAAAAATAGGTAAGCCTTAGAAATAGAGATTGGAAAGGAATAAGAATAAAATTGAGCAAAATACAGACTTCTTCAAACCTCACCCCCAGGTTCTTCCCTTTCATCCAACCTCATTATTCCAATGACTCAAGCCAAAACTCTTAATCCATCCTTGACATTTTTCATATTCCATACCTAGTCCATCAACTAGATGGACAAAAAGTTCTGATGACTACATTAGAAATATTTCCATATCCCATCTACTCCTTCCCACATTTATTTTACTGAGCCAATTCACAATTCACTCTAAGCCAATTCACAATCTTCTATCACCAGGAATAGTATAATTATCTCATGACCAGTTTCCCTTTGTCCACTTCTCCTCATGTATCTTAAAATGTAAGTCAGACCATGAAACTCTTCTGTCCAAAGTCCTCTAGTAACTGCATATCTCACTCATAATAAAATTCAAATTCTTTGTATGGTTTCCAGGGCCTTGTATAAACTGTCCCCTTGGCTGTCTTTGACCTTGTCCCCACCCCACTCATACCATGTTCCCCATAGTTACACTGGCCTTGATATTCCTCAATCACAATAGTATGTTTCTTCTTTGGAAATCTGCATTTACTGTTTAAAGTATTTAATTCAGGGACACGAAACTCTTCATGGGGGTCAAGGAAGAGAAGTAGAATACCATATTTCCTGTTTTTACACATGTTAACATCTGGTTACTTACAAGCAAATAGAAGAGAGACAGAGATCCCACAGATACTCTACTATTTGGTGTCAGAGGAGTGTCAATTCCCTTTCTGAAGATTCCCTGCTCTCCTTATCATGAATGCATTTCACTTATTAAAATTGTGATACTTAATTATGCCTCTTAATTTAATTGCTAGTTATTTTTTTTCTTTTTAGAGGAAAAATATAGTAATAATATATCTTAGTAGCTTATTGAATTTGATGAAATACAATAAAAGCAGCATCCATTTAGAAGCATTTAAAAATGTGAGAAATTATAAGCATTTTCTCATTCAATATTTTATGTTTCCCATGAATTCTACATTCTACAGGCAAGAGGCTAACTAAACAAGACTATTCATTGAGTAAATACTAAGCCATCTTGGAATCTGCCTCTAAGGCCTGTGATCTACTAAGCTATGCAATCTCTGAAAATCACAACTTCAAATCCATTTCTGGCTCTACCACTTAACCAGAGGGGACTTGGACCTAGGCAAGTTACATGCCCTCTTTGTGTCTCAAGTGGGAAGCAAAGGGGCTGGATTAGACTTGCTGTAAGGCAGTGGTACCTGAAAACCAGTCCAGGGAACAATTGCTTTAGCATTGCCTAGAGAGGTTTCAGAACACACATTTGTGAATCCCTCTTAGAGACTTAGCTTTGGAATATCTGAAGCTGAGTCTAGAAACCTGCATGTTTATAAAACTATCCAGTTATTCTGCTGTATTCTCAGGTTTGGGAACCACTGCTCCCAGGTTCTATCCTGTCTGGATACATAATGATTCTCTGGAGCCAGATAATCTAACCTTCACAGTTCCCTTGGGTTTCCATTCCTGGCCATCATGAACCCTTAGACTCTGAGCCTCTACTTCTAAGGACATATGAAGTAAACCAGAAATGTGGAAGAAAGCTTGCACAGGCTGAGTTATGATATTATTGCAAATAACTCTATCAAGGCACTGCTCACACTTTGGAATAGCAACCCAGAAGTTTAAACAGAGCAACTGCTGCTGCAGCTGCCTCTGTGACATATTTCAGTTGGATTCTATTTCCTAAGATCCTTTCCTCATTAAACCCATCCAAGAAATGTCCATTTAATAGATGAGGAAAATGAAGTAAGAGATATTTGAAATATGTGTAATCGAGAGAAAGAACGAAAAATAGTAGAGAGACAGAGTGATACTACATAGGATACTCTGCTACTGGTGTCAGAGGAGTGCCAATTCTCTCCCTGAAAGCTATCTGACCTCCTTATCAATGCTTTCATTATCTTATGGTTTGAGCTGTGATTCTCAAAGGGCAGCATCAGCATCCCCTGGGAACTTACTAGATATGCAAATTATCAGTCCTCAGCCTAATTTATTGAGTCAGAAACTTAAACTCAGGTGAACCAACAACTGTGTTTAAACCACACCTACAGGTGACTCTAATGCACACTGGATTTTAAGACTTAAGCCAGAGAATGAGCCAAACACGTTGGTGCACACCTGTAATCTTAGCAACTAAGGTAGCTAAGGTAGAAGAATCACAAGTTCAATGCCAGCCTCAGCAACTTAATGAGATCCTGTCTCAAAATTTAAAAAAAGAAAGAAAGAGAGAGAGAGAGAGAGAAAGGATTGGGGTTGTAGCTCAAATGGTAAAAGTAAAGTACCCCTGGGTTCAATCCCCAGTACAAGGGGTGGGGGTGGGGGGAGCAGGGAATGAAATGAGGCTTCAGTTCTCCACATAAAGAAATATTAAGTGCATCAGTGTCCGCCCCCCTTACTCATTCCCTCATGGAAGAGTTTAAATCAACTGTGCATAAATAGCAGAATGATAGTGGCATTGATAAAGGACTCTTCCAGAGATAGCACAGATGGCCCCAAACCTCTGCTTGAAGACCAATATAAAACATGCAGAAAAATCATTCAGGAATGATAGGTCATACCAGGAGGCAATCAAAGGATGAGAAGTTGCTATGATTTGGTCTTCCTAAACTTGTGTGTGTTGGAAACTTAATTCCCAAATTCATTCGTTAGTGGTATTTGAAGGTGAGGCCTTTGGGAAATGGTTAAGATTTTATAAGTCGTGAGGGTGGGATCCCCATGATGACATTAGTGGCTTTAATAAGAGGAGGAAGAGAGACCTGAGTGTGCTTGCCCTGTCTCACCATATGATGCCCTCTGCCATGTCATGATGTAACAAGAAGGCCCTCCCCAGATGCCAATTCCATGCTCTTAGACCTTCCAGCCTTTAGAGCTGTAAGAAACAAATTTCTTTTCTTATAAATTACCACTCTATGGTGTTCAGAGATAGCAACAGAAAACAGAGTAAATCAGAATAAACAGGTGGTTTGAGAATCATTCAGACCATCAAGAGGTACAGAAAATTCTACTTTCTGCAAATTTCTTGAGACCAGCTACATCTTGCCTTCTCTTCCAACAACTCACAGCTGGACTACCTAGCTCTTTATCCTGCTTTTGTTCTCTTGTCCCTTCTCATATCACCCAAGTGAATTTCCTAAACTTTATTCTGACATCTTAACAGTTCTCCACAATTGTTGAGAAAATATGGCCCATGAGATCTGCAGAGTCAGGACCCAGTCTACTCTGTGGCCTCACCTTGAACGTTTCCCCTCTACATACCAGTACACTGGCCTTATTTCAATTCTTTAAATGCATAAAATACTTAAAGCCTCAGGGTCTCTTTATGTATGATACTCCCTTTAGTAGGGACATTCTTCCTTTCTACTCTACCTGCTTACTCCAACACATCCTCCAGCTCTCTGCCTATCACTCCCTCAGGGAATTCCCCCCAAATGCCCAGCTAACTTAGGAACCTCTAGTACATGCTCTTGTACACACTGTTTTCCC